TCGTTCGCTTCTACACGTCTTCGCTATTATTAGAATCCTAACAGGCTAGAAATGGTGGCGTAGAAACGTATGTGGTATTGGGCTTCGTGCGTTTTGTGACCTCCAGGCACCACCACAATTGTTATCTTGTTTTACACACATTATTCGGCCAATATTAATTATAAATGGTGTTTGCTCTCATCGTGCCTAAGCGCAATCGACAACCGATACAGAGAAGCAATGCCGCCTTCGGTGCTCATTCGATTTGTGGAGAAATAGCGTTATAAGGCAACAACGTCATGCCGCCAAGCCGGGGCGATTGGCTCATTCATGTTTTTTTTAATTCCGCCACATCTGCTGTAACACAGGGGGTGAATAAGTCAGTGTAGATCTTTGCTGCGTTTTCGAGCGTCTTCGCAATGTTGATTACCACACACACACCCACACACACAAAAAACCAAGCGACAGCCATCACACACACAACACACACAACACAGCACACACAATACCACCACACACAGCACAGCACAACACACAGCAAAACGCAAGCACCACACACACACATCTTACGATTACCATCTGCAGCACACACACACCCGGCCCCATGAACCAAGACACCAAACCAAACGCGACCATGTTCGTTGGCCGCTCCAGGGCGTTCTTCCGTACGCGCCTCGCTGCGGGCCATGCCCCTCGTCTCTCAGACTGAATACTCACCATCACTTACCGCCCATCAGCGGCACACATCCATAGCACACATGCAGCGCACACACACTGACACACTCACACACTTCCACACTCTCCACACACCTCCAAACCATCACCATCCCTCACACACCACACCACACACAACACACAACACACACACCACGCACACACAACGCATCTGCCGCGCACAACCATACCACATCGCGACCACCATGCACCACACAACACACACACACACATTCCCGCCAACACACACACAACCACACACACACACCAACAAACACACACGACAAGCCTGCCATCTCGCCCGCCCATTGCACTCCGCTCACCACCCAGCCGCCACCATCACCCATACATACACCACACTACGCGCGCGAGCCCACCACCACACACACTCACTACACGCCGGCCCCACACAACACCACATACACCCACCACCACCACGCGCCACACACACCCACACTCATACCACGTACACCATCCCTCCGATACCTGCGCCCTACCGTCCACCACACCACACCATCACACACACTCCCTCGCGCACACACATACCCACACCAGACACAGCAACACACACAACACACCAAGAGACACAAGCCACGACACACACCAGCACACACACACACACACAAACACACCATACACGACACCACCACACACATACGCACACGACACACACACCACACAAACACACCACATCGCCCACACATACACACACACACGCACCCACCACAGCACACACACACACACAGCACACACACCGCTCCACACCACGACACAGGCGCGAAGCACACAGCAAGAGATAGAGAAGAGAGAGGGGAGAGAGAGAGAGAAAGAGAGCAGAGAAAGAGACGAGGCGAGAAGACGAGAAAGAAACCACACAGAAAACACCCACACATACACACATGCACACGCGCCCGCACGCACGCACGCACGCACGCACGCACGCACGCAACGCAGCGCACCACGCACGCAGCGCAACGCACTGGCACTGCACGTATAGACACCGCAGACATACCGCAGATATCAACTACGCGTGCAAAATCTGTACATTTATTATTTAACATCAGGTATGAAATATTAACAGGGAATTAATGTGAGAGCTAGTCGATCCTAACAACCTAAGTTTCATGTGTCGTACTAGTAGCATCACGTGGTTACACACTGTTTATATGTGGTCGCAAGCCTATACTAGCTCAGTCGCTAAACAGGGAGTCTATAATAGGTCGCTAATCATAAGATATACGCGACCTCATTACAATCAAATATTATTGCACGTGCATGCATATAATGTGCTAACTTGAACGTAAACTGCCTACGTATAATTGGACGCGGGAAATGATTTTCCTCCCGTCTTTACACCGTAGCATTCTAGGATCAATAAAATCATTTCCCAGAGACTGCATTTCCGGAAAATGCTAGAGCTCGGTCGTTGAAATGTCGAACGAATTGTTATCGGCCTGCGCATAACGTTTTTCCGGAGGTCTGACACATTGGACGCGTACCCTTGTACGTCTACATGCATTGATACACTGCGATGGCAGGGTTAATTACTAAAAGGGCAGAATAGGTCTAATGTCCCCCTGACCTCTGTTTGAACCAGCTGGCTGCGTTTAGGCCTTATTTCTGAAGCTAATATATATATATACTATATACTATAATATATAATATATATAAGGCGTTAGGGTTAGGGGTTACGGGTAGGGGTTAGGGTTAGCTCAGAAAAACAGCTAAAGCGAGCCAGGTCAAACAGAGGTCAGCGGGACATAGACCTTAGCGAGCGTTACTAAAGATATTGCCGCACAAACGCGCGGTTGCATGCTCAATATGATTAACTTTCGACGGCCACATATGCGCAAGCGGTGTACTGCAAAAACTGGGCCTTCACGTTTAGTATCTAAAGCTCTTTGCATGGCAGGTTAGGTAAATACTATAGATGCAACTGGCGCGTAAATGGACTGGCCAGTTGTTATTCTGATCGTTTAAAGTAATATTAGCGCGCGCGCTATGAAGTTTGCTAGTATAAAACAAATACTAATGTACGGCGGCGGTGGGGTGGGCAATCGGTGCGTGCGTGACGTTATATGTGTGGCAAGCGGATGGCATTGCGTGCGTGCGTAGCGTGTTCGTACGTGTTGTGCTGTAGCATCGACGGTGGCGCATGCGTACGGTGCGTGCGTGCGTGCGTGCGTGTGTACGTTTGTGTGACAGAACGGCGGTGGGCCAATGCGTGCAGTGCGTGCGTGCGTGCTGTACGTGTTGTGTGTCAGAGCGGTGGGCCAGCGTGCGTGCGTGCGTAGCGGTGTACGTTGTTGTATCACGACGGGTGGGATGCCGTGCGTGCGTGCGTGCGTTGCGTGTGTACGTTCATGATAATAGACGGGTGGGCATGGCGTGCGTGCGTGCGTGCGTGTGTACGTTTGTGTGTAAGCAACCGGGTGGGCATGCGTGCGTGCGTGCGTACGTGTGACGTTTGGTGTACACGAACAGGTGGGCATCGCCGTGCGTGCGTATGCGTGCGTGAGTGTGTACGGTTTATTGATTCAAAAGACGGGTGGCTGCATCGCGTTCGTGCGTGCGTGCCGTGAGTGTGTACGTTTTGTTTTGTGTACCAGGCGGGGTGGGCATGGTGCGTGCGAGCAGCTGCGTGCGTGCGTGCGTGCGTGGCGTGACGGTGTGCAGGGGTGCGTGCGTGCACGTGCAGTGTGTGCGTGTGTGCGCGTGTGTGCGTGCGTGTGTGCGCGCGGAGTGCGTGGCGCTGCGTGCGTGCGTGTGTTGCGCTTGCGGTGAGTTCGTAGCGTGGCGCTACGGTGCGTGAGTATGCGCGATGCGCGTTGATTCTACTTTGCCGGATCGCAAATGGATGGTATTTGCAGGATTGACGCACTTCCTCCATTTGCACTATAATATTTATTAGCGTACCTAAGACAGAAAATTTAGGCATAAGGCGTAACGACGCGACAGATGGCGACACTTAAAACTCCTTAAATCTAACGTATATATGACCTCGACCCGACACGCCGGTGCAATTTACTACATGTGTATACCAGCGTGCAATAGAAAGCGTGCAAAGAAAGTAAAATACGAAAACACGGCTATTATTAACACACGCTAAATCCCCACGACCCGTTTTTAGAATAGGAGTATAAGTAAAATATACAAGAATATATATCCCACTGTTAGACCGTTTTAGGATAGTCAATAAATATATACTATAACTATAATATATGTATGGTATAGTATATATATGTGTGTGTGATCGTGTGTGTTGTGTGTCGGTGTGTGTGTGTGTGTGTGTGTGATGTGTGTGTGTGTGTGTGTGTGTGTGTGTGTGTGTGTGTGTGTGTGGTGTCGGCTGTGTGATGTGTGCTGTGAACGAAACTCATCTAGTCGTTAAGGGTTTACAAATCGATATAACTGTTTAAAGTTCTTCATATGAAGATTATGTTTATGTATGTGCAACTATATACAGCACCACTGCGCACAAGAATTCGACTATATTTTGTCAAAATAATCGACAGTAGCTGTGATATTGGACATACCATGTGCAAGTAAATAAAAAGTTGTTCGGCCTACTGTGAACCACAGGCACTTGGAACGTCTCAATAAAAAAAAGAAAGGTAAATAAACACGAAATGTACCAAAGTCTTAATGTTTCTCTACTGTATTTCGCCTATGATCACCTGTAAATGCCGGTCAAATGTTCATCTGCAACACACAAGTACACCGAACGCCCGCCCGCGCTGTGCTGCGTGCACAAACAACATGAATAAGAGAGTCATGTTGTTTATATACTCTCTTATTCATGTTGTTTGTGCACGCAGCACAGCGCGGGCGGGCGTTCGGTGTACTTGTGTGTTGCAGATGAGCATTTGACCGGCATTTACAGGTGATCATAGGCGAAATACAGTAGAGAAACATTAAGACTTTGGTACATTTCGTGTTTATTTACCTTCTTTTTTTTATTGAGACGTTTCAAGTGCCTGTGCTGTGAACGTGTGTTTATATAGGTCAAGTATCCCAGGTTCAAAGTAATTTTTTTCTGACTTTAGTTGCTTGCAATAGATTTAGGCTAAATTCCTACATGCACTTTATCTTCCTCACACTCCATCCCATATATCACGTGTACGTATACACGTATGCAATCGGTCTCACACAGGTTTGTCAGCTTGTAATAACTCATTAACTAAATGCATGCATCTCGGGCCGGTACGTGTGTGTAGGTGGCGGTTCACACCGCGAATTGGATCACGAAGCTGTGGATGTGGTATAATGGCACTCCACCGGCCATCGACGACTTCTATTTCTACGCCATGACGCGCTCTATGGTCGAAATAGAATCGTCGATATTTGGCGCTGCGATCGGCTTCGACGAATACGCTTACAAAGATTATCGAATGGTAAATGATTAGATGTTTCCAATCATTGTTGCCACTGTGCGTCGGTCGCGTAAAATGAGTGACTTGCATGCGTTATGCGTCACATGGGCGTCGTATGTGTCGTATATGCGTCATATGTGCGTCGTATATGTCGTATATGCGTCATATGTGCGTCGTATA